CCAAAAAAAAGAGAGTTGCTCACACTAAGGTCACTAAGGCTCAAATTTGGACTCACACCTCTTGTTTTCCTGTTTATGAAGGTTCACAACGGGTCCCGAACAAAAGGCGTCCCAGTGCATCCTATGCGTTTAACAACCTGCACACGCCCGAATGCGCGGGAGCCTGGATCGAGCCGGCGGGAATGGCAGCGTCATCGGTTTGGCCTCACAAACTTCAACGCGCAACAAACCTTGCTGGCTCCGGGTAAAATCAAGAGGGGTTTTGGGAATGAACCCCTTGAGATCCCCAATTCTGCAAACCACAAGGTCTGGTTCCCAGCTCAATCAACACCTCGCTCTCGCGCCTGGTCCTCACCCAGTGCAATCTGCATGGCTCAGCTGCACGCTGTTGTCAACGAGAAACTGGCCAAGCGTCTGAGCCGAAAGCGCAAGCAAATACCAGCACATAAGCTTTGGCAAGCAATTTGCCCAAACACACGCGCCCGCGAACGGGATTGCGAAGCTGCACTTCGGAGCGCACATCCTCCGCTCCAGGTGTCGCCCCCAACCATGCTTGCAAGTACACTTGACTGTGGCGATGCAGTGGCATGCCTGCCATGTTTCTCTAGCGCTCTGCGCATATTGGACTGTCACTGTCATTTCGCGTTAACATGCGGCTTTGCTCTCATGCGGGGGCTGACGCAAAGTGGCCTCACCTATGGCACCAAACGGCTCATAGGCCGTATCGTTGTGATACGAAACACACACAGAACCGCTGTCAATCCCGGCAAACGTCGCCCGGCGGTGAAATGCGAGGCAAAGGCACTCGAGGGGCACGTTGAGACCATCGGAGGCGGTCACTTTGCGACCCACAGCCAAGTGGAACTATATTTTGGCTGTCTTTCTTTGGGGAACCTTGGTTGACCTTTTGAAAGGGAACCAACGGCAATCAACAAATTTGCAGGTCCCCTAGTTTTGAAACCACACTCAACTTTGGCTCCGCCCACCTGGCCAGTGTCCCGAGCGTGATCGCCCGACCTGCTTGTAAAGCTCCCGGCGACAATGTGGGCCGTGACTTTTTGGGCACCCCTTTTCGGAGTTGTTTCAAAGAGACTGTAAAAAAGCCCAAACCCAGGTACTGCATCAGTCGCCTCAGTCAGCGTCGCTCAAGGGTCCAGGTCGTTGCCTCCTCAGCACGTCACAGGTGGCTTTACTCCGACCCGATCGGCCCAAAGGTACATTGGCTCCTGGTGAAGGGAAGCAAAAGGACAACAAACTGTGTTTGTGCCGCGTTTGGGCCTTCAGTTGACAGGATCTTCGAGCCAAATGCAGCCCGAAAGCTGCTATGCCGCCAAGAGGCTCAGAATCTACTGGGATCTGCTGCGCTTCCAACTGAGCACGTTGGGTGAACTTCCCCTCTCCCCCGTTGGCGAGTGGCTGTTCAAAAAGCCATGACTGAATCAGGTTTCGTTCATTGGCAAGTGCTTGCGTTTCATGGCCGTGCACAAACGGACACAGCCAAAAGGCGGGAGCATAGCCTCTGCCAACGCAACAGTTGAGCGGTTCTTTCAGGCCAACATCTCACAGGATAGGCTCATCACCACAGAAACCTCTGCGCAGTAGTCTGCACTCACGTAACTGCACTTGCCTTGTTGGGCGCAAATTCGCTCGGTCTGAAGGGGGTCTCAGCTGGACGTCGGCGTTTGCCTTGGAGTGCTCAAGTGCCAACTTGGACTTCAAAGGACCCTGAGCAGCATGTGCAAGTGGCAGCACTACTTGATGGCATGCCAAGGAGCAAAAGCAACCGGCAAAGCCCCTCCATCCGGATTCCATGTCTTTCACTCTGGCGTTCCTGGCAGGCGATGCCCTTGCGTGCGAATATGCCCCCATCCGCTGCGCCCAAAGTGCAACACTGAAACCAATTACAGACAAACCAGGCGGTGACTACACCAGCATTGTGCTTTGCTGACGGAATCTCATGGGCCAAGGTGCAACGCCAGAGCGTCACTTCTCTGCCGCAAAATGCACGCATTCAACCTCTGCTCAGAACGCGTCGAGCTTTGGAAACAAAAACGCAAAGGAAACCCACCCTGCTCCACCGAGCCAAAGGAGAGGAAAGAGTGACCCTGAACCAACCGAACTGGGGCCTACATGTGATGGAACTGGTTTCCACTGCTCTGGCTGCCTTTTTTTGTCTCGTTCCGCCGGGGCGCTGCTTCTCGGACTCCCGCTGCGCGCTACCCAGTGCACTCTGCGCCCCGGCCAGGTTCGAGATGGCTGGCCGCACCTTGCGAAGTGGCCCACGGGTTCCTTGAAAAATACATCCAAACACCACCTGCTTGACCCACATGGGTAGCCACATGTATCCTTGGGACCCTGTCAACGGGAGAATCCTGCTAAACTGGGACTCACGTTTGCTGTAATCAACCATCCATTAAGTTGTCAGTGTCGAAATCAGCAATGCACCCACCTTTTGGTTGCCATGTTGGGGGTTCACGAAGTTGAGAGTTGGAGTTTGGTGTGTGCAGTTTGATTTGTTTATAGCTTTTGTTTAACACAAGGCACGGTTTCCCACAAAAGGTAAGTGTCCTTTATTTTTGAAGGTTTGCCTTCGATTGGCAGCCAACAGGGCGTCCTCCATTTTGAGAAACTCCCCTTTATGAACATCTTCGGCCCTTCGGCCAGCTGTGTTCTTACTCTGGTTCCAAATGGAGAATGGAAGTTTGAAATCGGGCGCGCGGTCCTTTATGCAGCCTGTGCAACATACGCAGGAAGATGCAGAAAGGGTAGTCGTGAAAAACGACAGGCTCATCCAGTATGGGTCACAACCACCACACATCACTAGAATCAAAAAGGATTCCTAGGGCTAAAGTGAGCAATCGCCAGGGTTACCGAGATTCGGCGATTGGCGATTCGGCCTCCTCAAAGGCGGCCCGCGCAGCGGATGAATCCAGCCTAGGAGGCAAAGCAACACCTTTCAAGATGTTGAAGCCAAGATTCAAACAACCTGCTTCTAGTTGTCCTTTGCAGTTGGCTGCAAGTAGATAGCACCCGCTTCTGGTCACTCATTTTCCCCTTTTTCACATGTGCCGGGAACCATCTGGTGGTTGAGCAACTGGTCCTCCAACCCTGTGGGGTAGGAGCAGTAAAGGACCCCAGTAAGCTGATTTCTGCTGACCCTTGCCAAGTGGCGAGACTGCTGCGATGGTCTGCGACAGCTGTGCGTTCGCTTCATCCTTGATACCGCCGGCAAGCTCCACGGCAAACTAACAACGACCAAAAAGGAGGTCCACAAAAGGACATTCCGCTACAAATCAGGGGATTGGTTCCATGTTAATCTGCAGGGGGGTAACTCAGGAACCAACATCGTGGCATTGCATGAGGTGTCCACCTTGCGAAATCACCGCCTTCTGACGAATTCGATTCGGCACCAAGCAGCCAAAGCAGCCACCCTCTGGCTCATCTGCAAGAATTCGGCCCTGAAGCTGCTAGTCAAGTCTTTCAGCTCGCCATTCACCACCTCAAGAACTCTCAGCTTACCAAAGAACAGCTGAAAAGTCGTACAAGCCTGAATCAGCTTGCAAAGAACAGGCCTGAAAAGTCCTGCCTCCTGTACATCGTGAAGCTCCCGCTTGACGCTACTCCTGATCTCCGCGAGGTCCTCCTGTTTCTGGAAATCACAGCCCCAACGGCCCAACGGCCCAACGGCACCGGGCGGGCAGCCTCAGCCCTCGCAGACCGCCCTTGGACATACCACGGACCATCTGAAGTTTTTCCGATTAAATGTCGATTCATACCCGTTTTGCACTCCAATCCTGCGTAACTGCCGGTTCAAAGCCCAACTGCCTAGCACCATCCCTTTGCCCCGCCAAGCAGGATTGACAGTTAGTGCCCTTCCTTTTTGCCTTCTCTTTTGCAACCACAAACCTTACGGCCTATGATTTGCAACTTGGTTTCCTCGCTTCAAAACAAAAAACAAGTGGGCCCCCCTTTCGGCCTCTCGGCACTGGGACCCCTCCTGGCCGACGGCCTTTTCCTCGCCCCGGAGCTGCTGGAGCATGCCCACGGAGGCGCGGAGGTCTGCCTCGACATCGTATCACGGGAGTTGCGGCTTGGTTGCGGCTTGCTCCGATTCGTTTCCCTTTTCCCTTGGTTTGGTTTGGTTGTTTTGGAGGTGGCCCATTTGCCCTCCACAAGATTGACCTTAGCACTCGGGCCTTTGCTTCATAAGGGACAAAGGGAGATTGTTTAAATGGCCTAAGCACTAAACACTTAAGCGAGTTGGCCCGAGTTCGCATCCCTTTCCTTGGGCCCCTCTGGCTTGAGGCCCGGCCCTGAGGCCCCGCGCCATTTCCTCCTGCAGAGCTGCGATTTGTGCAGAAACCTCCGACTTCACCAGGGCCGACATGTCCAATCCCGCCTCATGTTGTGGCGATCGGCGCCAGTGTTTCAGGCTGGTTTAGGGTGAAACCACAGGGAAACCCGGGAGTTTCTGGGTCGCCCTATTTTGACAAATGCCCGCATCTATGAACTTCTGAGATCTGGCTGTCCTTCGTTGTGTTCTCTTTCTGCAGCTTATTTGTTGTTCTTTTTCTTATGTTGCGGCTTTAGCAAATGGCTGGCACTCGCGAAATTTCAACAAAAGCACCGGTGATCAACAATCTAACGCACGGGTCGCCTCCAAACCAGGGCTTGGGGATCGAGAGAGCATCAATGCTGGCATGACCTCAGTGCCGCAGCGCTGCTGCCATGGTTGGCAAATTTAATGATGCCAAGCAGCTGGTTTCTTGGTCTCCACCTTGGTCTCTGCCTGCTTGATCTCAGCTGGCTTGGTGTCAGCTTGCTTAGTAGCAGCCTGCTTGGTGTCAGTCTGCTTGGTGTCGGCCTGCTTGGTGTCTGCCTGCTTGGTGTCTGCCTGCTTGGTGTCAGTCTGCTGGGTGTCGGCCTGCTTGGTGTCTGCCTGCTTGGTGTCTGCCTGCTTGGTGTCTGCTTGCTTGGTGTCTGCTGCTTGCAGCACTGTCTCGCGCAGCTTGTCTGCGAGGTCGTCTTCGGCCTGCCGCTTGGGAGAAAGCGAGACTGCTAGCAGCCACTGGCCAGGTCTGTGGAAAGCCCCTCCCTTCCACCCCAGTGACAAAAATAGCGCATGCTGGGAAACAAATGAAAACGAAACACAAATCCGCATCCACCCCCCCCCCCCTCCCTGCAGCAACGAGCCTTGTCAGAGCAAGACTCCTGCCAAAGCAGCAATTTTAGCAACGTGAGGGGGTCTCATCATGCCACCACGATCACTCGCGCTCAGGCAAGAGAAACGGAATGATTGAAGCATCCTCTTTGGTCTCGTCCTCTGTCTCCTGGAGTGCAATGCAACAGCAACCCGCACGGCACAGTGTAACAAACAAAGCTTGCAGAGAATCGCAGCCCCATACGCGCAATGCCCAGCAACCTTCGCAACTGTTGGAAGCCTAAGGCCTGAGCTGGCAATTCAATTCGGTGGCTGACACTTGCCCCATGAAGCCGAAAATGGCAGCGGGAAGACAGGCCACCCTTTTGTGTCAGCAAGGCGCCTCGGCGGATTTTGGCACCAGGAGCCGCTTCGCCTGCGGAAGGACATGACACATGCCCGCAAGTTGACGTCGGGCCCTGGGATTTCAATTAAAAACCCAGTTTGCCAGCCACTCAGCCAAGATTGGCCAACCACCAAACCGTTCCAAGCTGCCCAAAAAGGAGGAGCTCTACCGTAGATGCTAGTCCCCCAGCTTGCATCAGAAGTCAAATTCCAATTTCACGCGAAGCTCAGCTGGGAGCCGGCCTCTGATGGCTTCATGGCATCTCTGGCCTTTCCTTCCGGGGTCTCTGCTTCATCCTCAGCCAGGAAGCAGAAGAGAACGGGTGTGATTGGACACCTTTTTGGGCAAGGACTCATGCCCACTTGGAGGTTCTGTGATAAAAGTCGTGCCCAAATGAAACCAAGCCACCACTACCCTGATCTTCTCAGTGGTCTTCTCTGGCGAGAAGTCCTCATGGGCTGACTCTCGACGCATAACTCGCCTCACAAAGGTGATGCCAAAAACCTTGGCACGTGGCTCACGCATGGGCTTGTCTTTTTAAGGTGCCCCTTTTCGGACTGTTTTAGGAAACCAAAAGAACTCCACCCGTTGTACAAATTCCCCTGCTTTGACCCAAACCCACATGGAACGGCGATGAACTTGATTTCCTTGAAATCGTCCGTGTCAGACTCTGATCTGTGGTCAAAGCTGGTGCACGACCGCACCTCAGGGAGCACACGGCATCAGCAAAACCAACTGCCAACTGCCCCCATCAGCCCTAGAAAGAACGGCAAGCCTTTCAATCACAGGGCGCAACCATGCAGGACCAAACCCCCGCCCCCGCAGTCACAAATCAGCAGCCATCCATAGCTACAGATTCCTGAAACAAAATCAGCACCCATCAGCATGCCACAAATATTGATTCGAGAGAGGGCGTATCCCACGGATGTCCAATCCATCAACCTGCTTCTTGGAACGTCGTAAGCTATTTGGCAGCAGCTCATGCTGCCTGGGACCTAAAGAAGTTGTGGCTTGCTGGTTCTCACAAGGGAGAACTAATGGAAACAAGGGATGGTTGAATTGGGGTCATTCCCTCATCCCCAACTGAGGACCAGCCAGACAATTGCTCCCGCAAATTAGTGTGGTTTTTGGGGCCCGGTTCCTACATAGGCACATACAACAAGGCTACTTGTTCAACTCACCCGCGGCGCCTCCAGCGCCTCCAGCAAGTCGTCACCCTCCTCCCGAGCCTGACAAACACCGGGCAATCTCTCTACCCCTGTAAATATGCATATATACATCTATGAGTACACATGCTTGTTTGTATATACATGTGGGAATATATTCTATGCATACATACATTATATTACATTATATTACATTATATTACATTATATTACATTACATTACATTACGTTACATTACATTTACATTACATTTGTTAAAACCCTCCTGGCCCCGTGCCTAAATTGGGAAGCAGTTCTGAGGTCCGTGTTTGTGTTGCTTACAAGGTTCCATTGATTGCCACTTGGCTCAAGTCACAAGTGAGGTTCAAGATCTTATGTGAAGCTGCGTTCATACGTGATCGACAATTGAGAGCGGAAAACACTTCGCTTGCGCTGCATTTGTCAGGACCACTGTTGTAACTATTATTCCTTCTCCCTTACAACAGTTACACGGGTTCGGCTATAACGGTTTGACCGTATACACCTTTCTACGTGGTTGGTATTTACAGCTGGAGGGTTCGGTGGACAGCGTCCCACGGGACGTCACCTTGCCGTCTCTTGACGGGTTATCAGCCGTAACGACAAGCTCTACACTGGACAGAGAGACAGCTGGTTTATTGCGGGTACAGGGACAATAAAGGGACAATAACCTACACGGTACAATGGCATCTTCAGCGAGCCCAAGTACTGCAACTTTTGGGAACGGCAGCTCAGAGGGATCCAATGGATTGATGGCTCTTCCTGCGGTGATGGATTTGGTCGCAGATTTACAGGATGAACCTGGGAGCGGAGGATCCGCGCTATTCAGCGACATATCCACCCCTACAAGATCATGGAAGCAGGTCGATGTTCGTCAAGAGTCGAAGCAAAGAGAATCCCCGCCGAGAAGATCATCATCTTCGCCTGCGACACCACGGACGTCGCAGAAGGGCGTGAGGTCAACATCAAAAGGTGGGAGATCTAAATCGCCCACCAGTGCAGAGTTTCGCGCCGCGATTAAAGAAAAGAACAAGATGGAGATGGAGATCGGGGAATACCAAAAGACACTTGATGAAATGTCGGCAGCAATGGCGAATCTTCATCAAGAAGACTATGGGAGCACCATCCGGATCCAGGAGCTGGAGAGACGATGCGAGATTGCCAGCAAGCAGTCGGGACATCTTGTGAGTCACCACCAACACCACATGGCTGAGGCATGGCGCAAGTTTGAGGAGGAAGCCCAACAGATGCGCAAGGTGGAAATGAACGCATATCAGTACGGGGAAAAGAAAGACATGGAGTCGAATGTTATAATACAACAGATGAGACAAGCTGAAGGAACTATTATGGAGCAGAAGCGGGAGATTGCAGTGATGAAATCCTACATGGCAAGCGAGAAGTCGGCCGCGCAGGAATCAGCTATACGTGCAAATCAGATACACCGTGAGGCTTCACAACAAACCTCAGTTTATCAGCAACAGATCAGAGGTATTGAATCGTCTACATCTATCGAGAAGTTCAACGAGGAGGAGATGGTCCAAAGTCTAAAATCACAGTTGGAGCATGCACTCGTCAAACGCCCCGAGACGTACTCTATGGAGGACTCCAGGGAGCAGCTGATGGCGAGACTGAACGACGTTACAACATTCGCGGAGCAAGAATCGAAGAGAGCAGAGTGCTTACTTCGCGAGAAGGAAGAGATCGTCAAGCAGTACGAATCCGACGTGTTGAAGAAGGACCAGATGATTGCTATCGAGGGTAGTCATCGTCAAGATGCGATCTTGGAGTTAGCCCAGGTCAGAGAAGCAAAACAAGAAGAGCGGTGCACGATGGACGAGAAATCGAAGGAGGCCGAGTACTGGAGATTGACAGACAGCTAATGGACCTGGAGTGTATGATGAGCACCTCGGGGAGATGCGTGATCTTCAGGGACAACTGAAGGATCGGGAGGCGACGCTCAAGCAAGAAGAGAGTTTTGTTCGTCAACTCGATGCTGACAATGAGGAACTACGAGCACTCAAGAAGCTGGAGACACAGGAAGCCTCTAGCAGTAAAGATGGACATCGTGAACGAGCAGTAGTGAAACGCGCTGAGGGAGGACCCCAAGCTAATTCGACTAGGGTAGACAAGAGGGTGACTGGGTTATTCCCGTCATCATCATCGAATCTGATCCCTAATTCGTCACTAATGCCAGGTTCGATTCTCTTTCCGTCTTTTGGTGATCCAATGATCGATGTACACCTATCCCAGATGCAAGGGGTTGTTGGGCATGTCCCACAATCCGCTACTACAACTGGTGGTAGTGGTGATGGAGGGGGAAACAACGGTACTACACCCCCATTGGATTACGGTGGATTCTCGCCCAATGGAAATAGACAAGGGGCAGGTCGACGTCAGTTGAGCCTCACAGGTGGCGGAGGAGGACCTCCGGATGATCCACCCGATGATGAGGACGAGGATGACGACGACGAAGAGGATGAAGAGGACGAGGAAGAAGAAGAGGAAGAAGATGACAATCGGACACGGAGGAGGCGCAGAAGATCGAGGGATGATCGAGAAATCAAGAGCGAAAGACCGAGGATTTCGAGGAAAGAAGCCGAGAGGGTGTCTATTCCTGCTTGGCCAAAGATCCATCAACTCGATAACTGGAAGATGCAATTGCTGATGAATGTTCTGAGCGCATGCGCAGATCCAGATACTGACACATGGACGAAATGGTTGGAACAGGCTCTTGGGTTAAACCCAGACCTAAATCTGCTGAGCGACTCCGGCGGCGACAGATTCGCTACGATAGATATCAAAATGGCCATGGGCATGCAGAACATGTTAAAACAAGCACCTGACGAAGCCAAAGACGTGTACCTCGACGCTACACGACATTCGGAACTACGACATCAACAAGGGGTGATCGTGAAGGGACGAGAGTTGGTGGCATTGGTTATGCAATCATTCAGGACGTCTGATCGAACGGATCTTGTCTACCACATCGAGCACCTATTCAACCTTGACTTTCCTGGAGACAAGAATTTGGTTATATTCAGGAACAAGTGGTATGATTTGTTGCTAAAGATGAGGAGCGAAGATAGACCCAGCAAGTTGGCTCTCAGAGATATTCTCTACAGGAAGATCAAAGGGAGCAAGAAGATGGAGTTCGGCCTCAACGCCTATCATAGGTTGCCGGACAAGCATCCTCAAAAGAAGTACGAATTCTTGTTGGCATTGATCGACCACCAAATTAAGGCGGATCGGGAGGACCTGATGCTTGACATGAAGGAGAAATCGGTCAAGTCAATGATGAAGTCGGGCGGCAGAGATGCAGCCCCGGCTACTGGCAAACAGGAGAACCAGGGTGGCAAAGGCAGGAAGGGGAAACCCAGTGGACCTGATGCTGCTCCTGTACTCCCAAAGGCCAAAGCAAAGGGTCACGCTGGCAAGAACGGCAAGTCCGACGGTGCCAGCGACAGAGGCAAGAGTCCGGGCGGAGGTAAAGATAACCCATGTTGGTATCACTTCAAGGCAGCGAAGGGATGCGTAAAAGGGAATGAATGCACATTTTCCCACAGCAAGAAGACGGAGCACAAGCTGGAGAACATGCCCAAAGGGAAAGGAAAAGGTAAGTCCAAATCCAGATCATCATCACCAAAGAGGGATGATGGAGCATGCTTCGCGTTTCAGAAGGGAAAATGCGACAAGGGGAGTGCTTGCAAGTATAGGCACGAGCTCATCAAGAACAATTCAGCTCCGGCAACGTCAAGCGACAAGGCACAAGCCAAGTCGAAGGCTGCCGCCAAAGCCGCAGCGCCAGCTATTGCAAGAAGAGCCATCGCGATGCCTGCGATAGTCTTGAAGCAATCGGCTCCTGCGGGAAAGGTCAGCTTCAAGAAGGACGTTGACCAGGTCGAACCGGATGAAGCCGAGACTGTCTACCACGAGCATGATGACGACGCAATGAGCGAATCATCAAGATGGTCTGGCGAGTCCGAGATCCCCGAGAAAATGGTATGGTTCAAGGAAGTACTCGATGTCGACGAGAATGGGGAGATCACCTATCTCGAAGACGAGAGAAGGCAATGGGAACGAAAAGGGGAGTGGTACGGCTATGAGGACAATGAGAATGAGCCTTATCAGTACGTGCACGTCGACGAGAAGAAGTTTAAGAGCAGTGATCATCGAGAATTATCAGCCTATCAAGTCCAACGATCATTGATAAGAGCGAAAATACTGAGAGAGGTGGTAGACGACATATACAGGAAACACTACTTCCCAGTAACCAAGGAGAGCACCATAATGTTCGAATATGATCGGAGCAAGGACGAGATCAAGGAATCGGCCGTCAACTGGAAGAAACAGCATGGTTTGCCGAAGAATGTGTTCGCAATGTCAACGTGCATCAGCAAACGGGTGAAATGGTTGATGGACACCGGGTGTGGTCATGATCTCATTGGACGAGCCAAGGCAAAGAGCCTGGGTGTCGATATTGTGAAAGATGATGATGAGATTGTGTTCCAGACCGCAAATGGTTCCACTTCCACACCCGACGTGGCCAAGACAGTCGTGGACGAGTTGGACGAGACTGTCGAGCCGCGCGTGTTGGACGAGACACCCACGGTGTTGTCAATAGGGAGGAGATGCATGAAGATGGGTTATGCATTTCACTGGATGCCTGGTAAACTACCTTTCATGGTTACACCAAAGCAGGGATTCGTGCACTTACAAGTCAAGGACGACATCCCATACCTCGTGAGTGATGGTAAACTTCGGAGTAACAGGCATCGCCCTACGGTAGACGACCTCAAGGAGCACTTTTCGGAAGTATTGGCAATGGTAACGAACGATGAGGCAGATCAGGATGGCGACGATGACAACGAGGTCACACCCGCCGCTGTCGGTGAATCCGCAGAGGTCGAGGGCGAGCGCCATGATGGTGCGTTTGACTTCGGACCACCCGGAGGAGCCGGTCCGGTACGTCCGCCTCCCGTAGCTGAGGAAATACCTGTAGACGTTGGGCCAGTCCCATGTCGACATGGTGATGCCGAAGCTAACGA